GGGTGCCTCAGCCATTTAGAATAACCCCACTGTACCTGTCTCTCACTGGAAACCCTGAGAACCTGGTCATTTCCCAGTGCACAGGGATGGTGCCTCCGCACTCTCAAGCTGGTGCTTGGAAACTGGGGAGTTTCCTGGAGAGCCTCTGGCCCTCTATCTGCCAGTGATGGAGACCTGGAAACTCTGCTTCTGATAGCAGCAAAGGAATCAGCAGCTGCAGCAGCAGGGTGAATGGACTCAATGGTGAGAGGGAAGGCCAACTGAACAAAAGGTGAGTACTCTGCCTTCTGCCATGGCCTTTTCGTGTGGGCTTCTACCCAGAGGTGCTGTGCACATTGCGGTGGGTCCTCTCACGTCAGTGAAGGCACTAAAGGCAATTACTCAACTCAGAAGATTCTCATTTGTGGCAAGTTAATATTTAACATCACAATATCCGAAAGAATTAAAATTGGGATCTCAAAAGAGACATGGGCACTCTCTTACGTTCATTGCAGCATCATTTACAATAATAAGACAGGGAAGCAAGCTAAATATGCGTCCCTGATGACTACAATAATCTGTCTCTGTCTATCTCCCCCCCCCCCCCCCCCCCCAACACGCACACATACAGAGACACACACTGAAGTCTTACTCAACCTTTTAAAAAAGGGTATTTTTCACTGGCCACACCATGAATGAACCTCGAGGATTCCATGATGGCAAATGTGAAATATGCTAGCAATGGAAAGACAAACACTACTCGATACCACTGTGTACCTAAAATAGATGAGCACACAGAAGCAGAGAGTACAATAACCTTTCCTGCCCCGTGAGGTTTGGTCAGTGAGAAATTCCTAAACAGTGACTAAAATAGTCCCTGCACTTGTATAGGCCTTTAAGGTTTTAGAAGCATTTCCTCTCTGCGTGTTTGCAAGCTCAGGGAGGTATGTTCAGTAACGCTCAGTCACAGAGGAGAAAATGGATTAAACAAAGGAACAAGTGTTAGGATCCTGCCCTCACTCCTGCGCACGCTCAGCTTGGGGTCTTGCATCTTGTGTCATCAGCAGATGGTGGCGACCATGTACCTGCCTTAAAAAGCCTGATTCGGACCCCCACACTCTCTCTGCTCCCTCTCTCTGCTCTTCTCCCACCATCTTTCTTTCTCTCCAGGCCTGGCTCTCCTCCCTCCTCTCCCCTACTTCTTTCTAATAAAGCTCTTTGTCACTCTGGTTAGTCATGGTCGTGGCCCGTGACTTTTCTGCTGGTAACCAGGGCCACCACCAGCACTGTTTATCTTAGTCATCAACAACCTATGAAGGACACAGGTCTCAGCGGGAGTGTGTGTAGGTTGGTCATTGATGAGTGACCCTAGGGATCAGTAAAATGACTATCATTAAAAGTACATTATTAGGGTCATGCGGATGTCTGGGGTTTGTGCAGCCACCTGAAGCCATGTTGATGTCCATGGGCCTTGCTGCTGTGGGGGCCATGTTGATATCTGTGGCTGTTTTACCACTGAAGGACATGTTGATGTGGGTGACCTGTGCAGCCACTCGAAGCCATGCTGATGTCTATGATCCATGTTGCTGCTGAGGCCCATGTCTGGGTCCATGGTCCTTCTGCAGATGAGGGTTGTGTTGATGTCTGTGACCTGTGTTACCACTGAAGCCATGTGGCTATCCAAGGTCTGTGCTGCCATTTGAATCCGTGTTGACGACCATGGTTTGGGCTGCCGCCAGGGAACATATTGATGTCCGTGGCCCATGTTACCCCAGAGGCTATGTTGACTCCCTTGGTCTGTGATGCCACTGAGGGCTATGATGGTGTCTATGGCTCATGCAGTGGCAGAGAGTCATGTTGATGTCTGTGGTCTATACTGCCACCAGAGACCATGGTGATGTCAGTGGCAGGTGGTGACGCCAGAGGTGATATGGAAGTCCATGATCCATGCTTCTGCTGACTGGAAAGGGCAAGGAAGCTACCTTGGCATTGTATTGATGACTGCAGACTCACAGTTGAGAAAGAAGGGCATAGAGGGCTTCTGTGACAACCCACCCCCTGCCAAAAGGAACAGCCTAGACAGCCATTGAAGAGAACTCTTTAAAAAATTGCAATTAGGATGCTGAAGTGTAGCTCTCCACAACTGATGACTTCTGGTGGGGGTACATGTGAGGGAGAACTCAGTTTTCTTCAAGGGGCTGGCCACTGAGATTTTGACCATGCTCCAGTGAGTATATGGGTAACACCAATTGGACTTCTTCTTCTTCTTCTTTTGGGAGGGAAGTTCACAAAGGTAGGGGGGGCAGACTGGGAGGACTGGGAAGTGACTATGATTGGGGTGCATGATGTGAAATTCCCAAATAACCAACAAAAATACTATGTTGGAAAAAAAAAGTGCTTTATTAGAGATAAGTAAATATGCAAATGGTGTAGTTTGTTATGTCTGTTATTCTTATCACACTCATATACAAATCATCAAATGAGAGGAGATTTTGCAGCTGGGGGTGACAGGGCTATTGCACATAGTTAAATGGCACAGGTAGTGTTTATATTTCACAGGTATATGACCATTTACAGACTTACCAAGTTGGATACAATGTGCATACACAGCTTCTATTATGTGACTCAATACAGGGGCTTAGAAAAACAACAGGGTAGGTCAACCAGCACCTTGTCCTCTCCATGAAATTTGTTGTTTAAATAATTGAAAAGAGCCGGGCGGTGGTGGCGCACGCCTTTAATCCCAGCACTTGGGAGGCAGAGCCAGGTGGATCTCTGTGAGTTCGAGGCCAGCCTGGGCTACCAAG